AGCATTGCTTGTAACAGTTCGATGCTGGTTCTCCGGTCTTCTTGTGGTGAGCATTGCTCGCCCCAGTTTATTGCCGTTACGCCAGTCTTCCTGTAGTAAGCTCTGCTCCCACCAGTTCGATGTTCGTTCACCAGCCTTCTTGTAGTGAGCACTGCTTGCCCCAGTGAGATGTTAGTTCACCAGTCTTCTTGTAGTGAGTACTACTCGCTCTAGTTCTATGTTCGTTTACTAGTCCTCGTGTATTGAGCACTGCTCGCCCTAGTTCATTGCTGGTTTACCAGTCTTCCTGTAGTGAGCACTGCTCGCCCAAGTTCGATACTCGTTCACTAGTCTTCTTATAGTAAGCACTACTCGCCCAAGTTTGATGTTCGTTCACATGTCTTCTAATAGTGAGCACTACTCGCCCTAGTTTGATGTTCGTTGGAATGTCTTTTTATACTGAGCATTACTCGCCCAAGTTCTATGTTCGTTCACCAACCTTCCTGTGGTGAGCACCGCTGGCCCCAGTTCGATGTTCGTTCACCAGCCTTTTTGTAGTGAGCAACTGCTCGCCGCAGTTCGGTGTTGGTTGACCAGTCTTCTTGCAGTAAGCACTGCTCGCCCCAGTTCGATGTTCGTTTACCATTTTTTTTAAGTGAACACTGCTCGCCCAAGTTCATTGCTGGGTCACCAGTCTTCTTGTAGTGAGCACTGCTTGCCTCAGTTCGATGTTCGTTCACCAGTCTTCTTGTAGTGATGATCAAAGCTCGCCCTAGTTCATTGCCGGTTCACCAGTCTTCTTGTATTGAGCACTGCTCGACCCAGTTCATTGCTGGTTTACCAGTCTTCTTGAAGTGAGCGCTGCTCGCTCCAGTTTGATGTTCGTTCAACTGTCTTCTTGTACTGAGCATTGCTCGTCACAGTTCATTGCTGGTTCACCAGTCTTCTTGTAGTGAGCGCTGCTCGCTCCAGTTTGATGTTCGTTCACCAATCGTTTTGTAGTGAGCACTGCTTGCCCCAGTAGCATGTTCGTTTACCAGTCTTCTTGTAGTGAGTACTGCTCGCTCTAGTTCGATGTTCGTTTACTAGTCCTTGTGTATTGAGCAATGCTCGCCCTAGTTCATTGATGGTTTATCAGTCTTCTTGTATTGAGCATTGCTCCTCCCAGTTCGATGTTCGTTCTCCAGTCTTCTTGTAGTTAGCAGGGCTCACCCCAGTTCATTGCCGGTTCACCAATCTTCTTGTAGTGAGCACTGCTCGCCCCAGTTCATTGCTGGTTTACCAGCCTTCTTGTAGTAAACAATGCTGGCGCCTTTTAGATGTAGGTTCATCAGTCTTCATGTAGTAAGCACGACTCGTCCCAGTTCGATGTTTGTTTACTAGCCTTCTTATAGTGAGGACTTCTCGTCCCAGTTCACTTGGGCTGAAGCCTCAAAAACACAGAAGGAGATGACAGATCCAAACCTGCACAATGAGAGGAGACGACCTAGCCGGCCAGATAGACACACATATTATGGCGGCCAAAAACACCCTAACAGGGCCTAAGCCACATGTAAATTGCTACGCAGAGAAGTCCCAGCAATCTAGTTTAGCCTCGCTCCACGCCGCCCGTAGCGACGTGGGAGATAGTTAAGTAGCCGGAAGTGCGCAATTTACATCTGACTGAGGCCCTGCTAGGGTGTGTTTTTAATCAGTTCTCGTTATGCCTAGTGGCACATGAGGCTTCAAAGAGGACATTTCATGCTTTCCTGTCCTTACAATCTTCAGTGCCGTTTTCCATGTCAAAATGCCACACTAAGGTCACTTTCCATCGTTCGTCTCCATGTTGTTTTTAGGCGCCCCTGTTTTCTCTTTCCCTCTGTTATCCATGTGAGAGCTGTTTTGGCAGGTATATCAGGATTCATTCTCATAAAGTGGCCAAGCCATTTCCATCTTCCCTTGGTTATCATACTGTCTAAAGTTTCTTGGTTTGTGACTTGAAGTAGTTTAGTGAAACATTCATGATCTTAGTTTTCTTTGCATTTATTCTCAGTCCCACCATCTCTGCTTTGCTGTGTAGTCTGTTACTTTTTTCTTGTATATGTTCATGTTTATGTGAGAGGAGTGCTATATCATCTGCAAAATCAAGGTCCTCAAGCATCGTGAATGGAGTCCATCGTAAACCTCTCAATGTCCTGTTTTCTGTGTTCTTTAGTATCCAATCAATCACAAGGTTGAAGAGGAGAGATGACATAATATGTGCCCTTTATTCTGAGGATAGCCATCCACGCAGCCAGCAGTGGGTTTCGATCGCGGTACGTTAGAATTCACACAAGTAGGGCTATATCTAAATGCAGGAAGCACGAGCAAAGTACATCGATTTTGTGCTTGCCTGCACTTATGGTTAAATATATGTATGTAAATAGGTTGTACCCCACCTTTACATCACACAAAGCGAGAAAGGCCATATCTATGGTCCGGCTATATTTTAGGGCCCCCGGCAAAAGCCAGGGTGTGGCTATAAATAACGAAAATTTGCATCCCATATGGGGGCGGCATGGTTGAATAATTATGGTTGAATGATAAACCTACTTAAAACATCTTTTGAAAATTGACCTATTTACATGCTAAACAAACTTTGCATACATTAACATGTGTTATGATTTCGGGAGAGGCTGCGTGGTCTCGAGGCATGGTGTCCACCTTGAGTGCTAGAGGACCTGGGTTCAAACCCCAGTGAAGGTTGGGATTTTTTCACGTTTACTTCTAGTAATTTACTTTGGTCTCTGTGTAGTAAGAGCGGACGCCATTGTGTATTGTTGCGCACGTAAAAAAATCTCTTGGCAGTCGGAAATCAAAAGAGTAGCCTAACGTCGCTGCCGAGGCAAAATTAGGAGTTAAAAAACTACCTAAAGTATTTCAGGATCCTCGCCGGTGCATCAGAGTTCGTGCACTGCGCTGAGAAATCTCAGACACAGGCTTGAGTTATAAGAAGAACGAAGCACGCATGGGTTACAACCCGTGTGCGATGATGCCGATCCGTTAAATAAATATAAAATACAAACGATTAAGGAGACTGGAGATGTCGAGAAAACTCCTTTTTTTAAATTACGGAACGACTGAATGCCCGTTGAAGCGGAAATCTCCTTTAACCAAGAACTTTCACCCATACATCTTGGTAATCTTTGTAATCTTTGTTTCAGCTTCATAGCAAACGAGTCACCCCATAGTTGCTCCGCTCCTGTGCCAACGAAAATACACAGAATGTTTATCACAGTTCTTTGTGGAAAGATTGACAGACTGCTGTCTCAGCATATGCACTAGCATACACACGCATTAAAAGCATACGGTAGCCATCCGAAGTGCTAACACAAACAGTCTGACATTAGAAATGCAGTTCATCATCGATGGTAGCAAAAGTCACCAACAGATCAGCACACGCGATCAATATTAATCCCATAATGGCACCACCAATATTGCGACATCAGGAATCTACAATTCCCACCACCACGTTGGTCACAGTTGAAAAACATTCTAAATGAAATCGGCAACTCAAAGTATCACGCCATGCACTCAACTCAGAAGCTGGGCGACGAAACTGTATCGTTTCAGTCTACAAATGAAGCAAAAATGCAACGGCCACCGTCTGGCATAAGCAAAAAATTTTCCACCACTCAGAACAGTGACCGTGCCTAGCGTCCATTTAGACTTGCTTTTGGTGGGGATCAATGCTTACACAGTGTAGATACACATATTTGTCTGGACATCACCGACTAACAGCATTTATTGGCTGTTAACTGGTCTTAAGATGCAAGCAGCAGCAGATGGCTTCACATAATATCAATATCAAGTAAAGGATCCTTTTCCACGATGTCAGGCGTACTGTACATAAAGTTTAAAATTTTAAAAAAAAAAAGCAAAGCACCCTTTTCCACACCTTTTGGCGTGTATGACATATAGGGCTAGACCTATATTTGATAGACCAATCGGCAGTTGGTGGGTGATGTGATCAATACCGCTCCAGTCACCTTTAGTTTCCAGTAGGTTGTACCGAATATTCGCTACGTATTCGCTTCGGGGCCGAATAGTTGACCTATTGACTATTCTGTATTCTGCCGAATAGTTGTAGGTGGGGTCGAATACGAATAGTGGTTACCTTACACCCGCTTCTGCATACACAGCTTAATGCTGACAACATGGAACGATTGGTTTTTTTTTTAAAAGCTAATGCAGCTTTCCTGCATTAACTAAGCTGTCAGTGACAATTTCTAAGTTTAGTTACTTGTTATAATACTTAGGATTCTTTCAATCCTAGTTATAAGTTACCACAGACTGACTGAAGGATGCAGAACATAAAATGTTTACTATTCTGTACGAATACTAACTAGTCATGGAAAGAATATAATCTCCGGCCACATACAAGTCGATAATATGAAAATCAAACGAATGGAAACATATAAGTACTTGGGTGCAAACTTCAATTGTCCCAAAATGATGAGAGAAGAAATAAAATCTAAAATACAATCTATGCCCTTCAACATCTGCTAAAGTCAATGTGCCTGTCTCGCAACACCAAGATAAAAATATATAAAACGTTGAAAAGAGCAGTCGTTTTATTTGACTCCGAAACTTGAAGCAGAAATGAGATGAGGCCTTATTACAGGTTTTCGAAAACAGTTCTACGACAAATCTTTGGACCCATCAAAGTTTCTAACAGCGGGGAATAAAGAGTCAGAAGCTACAACGTAACACATAATCTGTTTAAATCACCATTGATCTCACTACCCAGAGACCAGAGGAAATTATTAGACGTCCACTTGAAAAAAAATCCCAGCCTTCACCATGCCCTGAAGCAGGGACCTCTAGCACTCGAGGTGGATGCTATGCCCCGAGACCAAGCAGCCCCCTGAAGGTCAACATAAAAACCATCAAATACGTAATAGGTTGTAACACACACACACAAAAAACATTCATGGGTTCAGCAAAATATACACAATATGCCACTGGCGTATCTTTACGTATACGTTTTTGTTTGTCTATAGGGTGATGTCCACCTTCAGAACCGTCTTCTGGTCCATCTACGGCAGAGGTAGCGTGGATGACGTCACACTGGGCGGGTACAACAACACAGTGACCGAAACAACCGGAGAGGTTATCGACGGCATGTACAACATCGTGATGGTTATTCTTCTACTCAATATCCTCATTGCTATGATGTCGAGGTCATTTGATAAAATTCAGGTAAGATTTAGACACAGATGAATGAGTCGTATTTGAATGAAACAGAAACTAATAAGTGGGTCTAACTATTGAGTCTATCAAGTGGTCTGACAAGTGGGTCTAACAAGTGGACTGACAGGTAGGTGTAACAAGTGGTCTAACAAGTGGACTGACAAGTGGGTCTAACAATCGGACTGACAAGTAAGTGTAACAAGTGGTCTAACAAATGGACTGACAAGTAGGTGTAACAAGTGGTCTAACAAGTGGACTGACAAGTAGGTGTAACAAGTGGTCTAACAAGTGGACTGTCAAGTAGGTGTAACAAGTGGGTCTAACAAGTGGTCTGAAAAGTAGGTGTAACAAGTGGTCTAACAAGTGGACTGACAAGTAGGTGTAACAAGTGGTCTAACAAGTGGACTGACAAGTAGGTGTAACAAGTGGTCTAACAAGTGGACTGACAAGTAGGTGTAACAAGTGGTCTAACAAGTGGACTGACAAGTAGGTGTAACAAGTGGTCTAACAAGTGGACTGACAAGTAGGTGTAACAAGTGGTCTAACAAGTGGTCTGACAAGTGGGTCTAACAAGTGGACTGACAAGTAGGTGTAACAAGTGGTCTGACAAGTGGGTCTAACAAGTGGTCTGACAAGTGGTCTGACAAGTGGTCTAACAAGTGGTCTGACAAGTAGGTGTAACAAGTGGTCTAACAAGTGGTCTGACAAGTGGTCTGACAAGTAGGTGTAACAAGTGGTCTAACAAGTGCACTGACAAGTAGGTGTATTAAGTGGTCTAACAAGTGCACTGACAAGTAAGTGTAACAAGTGGTCTAACAAGTGCACTGACAAGTAGGTGTAACAAGTGGTCTAACAAGTGGACTGACAAGTAGGTGTAACAAGTGGTCTAACAAGTGGACTGACAAGTAGGTGTTATAAGTGGGTCTAACAAGTGGACTGACAAGTAGGTGTAACAAGTGGGTTTAACAAGTGGTCTGACAAGTAGGTGTAACAAGTGGTCTAACAAGTGGACTGACAAGTAGGTGTAACAAGTGGTCTAACAAGTGGACTGACAAGTAGGTATAACAAGTGGTCTAACAAGTGGACTGACAAGTAGGTGTAACAAGTGGTCTAACAAGTGGACTGACAAGTGGTCTAACAAGTGGACTGACAAGTAGGTGTAACAAGTGGGTCTAACAAGTGGACTGACAAGTGGGTGTAACAAGTGGTCTAACAAGTGGACTGACAAGTATGTGTAAAAAGTGGTCTAACAAGTGGACTGACAAGTGGACTGACAAGTAGTCTAACAAGTGGACTGACAAGTAGTGTAACAAGTGGTCTAACAAGTGGACTGACAAGTAGGTGTAACAAGTGGGTCTAACAAGTGGACTAACAAGTAAGTGGTGGTCTAACAAGTGGACTGACAAGTAGGTGTAACAAGTGGTCTAACAAGTGGACTGACAAGTAGGTGTAACAAGTGGTCTAACAAGTGGACTGACAAGTAGGTGTAACAAGTGGTCTAACAAGTAGTCTGACAAGTAGGTGTAACAAGTGGGTCTAACAAGTGGACTGACAAATGGTCTGACAAGTGGGTCTAACAAGTGGACTGACAAGTAGGTGTAACAAGTGGTCTAACAAGTGGACTGACAAGTATGTGTAACAAGTGCTCTGACAAGTAGGTGTAACAAGTGGTCTGACAAGTGGGTCTAACAAGTGGGTCTAATAAGTGGGTCTAACAAGTGGGTCTAACAAGTGGGTCTAACAAGTGGGTCTAACAAGTAGTCTAACAAGTGGGTCTAACTAGTGATTACAAAAAAACACAAGTGGAATCCTTGGAATGTGTTGAGAGCCGAGCTAAATTATGACATCACGTGACTGGGTACTTTCCATAAGCGCTCCGTACTCATCTTCAGCAGCTAGCTTCCTATTCCATTAGTGCCAGTAGTAGTTTGATAAAAGGTCCTTTTTGCCTTTCCTCGAGCGTACAGTGTCGATCCGATCCACCTGGTCATTCCTACGATCAGATCCACCTGGTCATTCCTACGATCAGATCCACCTGGTCATTCCTAGATGTAAAATTATCTCCAGATTATAATAATTCATTCGTGCTTCAATCATTGGAATAAAAAGAGAGTTAGTTTGTTAACTAGTCACTCGATAGACCATTTTGGATTCCAGGCCACTCCGGCACACCAGGTAATGACAGAGCGGACAGACTGGAAAAGAAAGGATCAACACAAGAACAACCACCCACAGCGACAACACTCTTCTTCTTCTTCTACCTTTCTATCCCCCAATGGAGCATAGGCCCTCAACCAACTCACGCCAAGTCGTTTTATCCTTCGCCATTGCATTGAGCTCTCCCCATGTCCTTCCCCATCTTTCTAACTTCATTCTCCAGCTCTCTTCTCCGTGTGTTTTTTGGCCTTCCTTTATTCCTATGCCCCTGTGGGTTCCAATGCAAAGACATTCTAGTTATGCTGTTCTCCTGTTTTCTCACTCTGTGTCCTATCCAACGCCAGCGTCTTTTCCTGACCTTTTGGTCCATTGAAGCCTGTTTAGTTATCTCCCAAAGTTCTACATTAGTTATTCTATAATACCATTTAATTCCTTCTATTCACTACACTACAGACAGCAAAACCCTTATAAGAGCTATAAACAAAGAGACTTGGTTGAACAGATGAGCCATGTGAGACACTGGAAGAGAGGTTTATAGACATATGTCTGGCGCTGATCCTACTGGCCCTGATCCTAAGGACCATTAACCATCTAACAAGAAGAGACCAGGCCACCATCTTCAGACTTGGAACACAACATACTCCACTCAATGGACACCTAAACAAAATCACAGCCACAACACTCCCCAGAGCGCCAGCTATGTAACTACCCCTACGAAACTGTTGAACACCATCTCTTTGAGTGTCCAAAACTCAACGAGACTAGAAGAATGCTACTTCCTCCGAGACCAGGCAAGTGGAACACCTTGTACGGAGGAAACAAACAGCTTGTGAAAACATGCAAATTCCACTACATGCCAATGGGGCAAAGGGCGAAAGCTCACGCGCCGCTGGATCGATAACAACAACAATACAGACTATTTTCATTGCACATCGAAACATTCAGTCCATCGGCGCTCGGAGGAACCATTTCTTCAGTTTATTCCTCAAAGTTGAGGCGGCTGACAGCACCGGTTCACTGTTGGCTCGGCTTCCTGGATTCCACAAGATCTTGCGACAAAAATTATGGCTGCCAGAGGAAGTCATTTTTTCTGTAGCCAGTTCTCGTGCCATAAGTATTTTCATAGATAATACATATTCAATGTCCTGACTCTACCTTCTCTGTGTGGGTTCCAGGGCCCCATTGTGGGGGAAAACAAGAATAGACCCACTGCCTTCCCAACAAGCATGTCGTAAGAGTCGACTAATTGGGGGCTTCTTTCGAAGTCAGAGTGCACCTGCCTTAGAGGCAAGGAACCAACAATCTGCATACAAATTATTCAGATCTGTTAAACTGATGTGGGACGCAACATCGAGGTTCTGGAAGAAGACTAAAGTCCGGAAGTGGACAAAAAACCAGAAGATTCCGCTGGAGTTTACAGCCAGTGAACGCAAGGAAGAAGAAGCAGCAGATTCCACATCATGTAAGTCTGCCTCAGTCACTGCACTATATACTGTTGTCATTCTTTCATAGGAAGATGCTGACGTCGAATGGAAGTTTGCCCGTAGTGCTCTGTATCTGAACTATATCTCTGAAGGCAGAGTTCTCCCAGTTCCACTGAACGTTATAGAGATTCCCTATGACATGATAAGAAAAATTATCAGTTGCTGCCAACACACAAATGAACCGCCCGAGCCGCCACCCAGTGCAGCTGGTAGGAGGGTTGCATTCTCGAACATTGCTTCTGAGAGGAATCTCAAGGTAAAGTGTGATGTTTGTGACTGTGTGTTGTGTCAATAATACTGTCTTTCTTTCACAGAATACGTTTGGGCAATCTTTCTTTGACAGTTGAGACGAGAAAGAGAATTTATTAAAGTTATATAAGTTCTACCTTGATACACTGAACTAAATCAAGGACAGTGGGAAAATAGTGAAAACTTATGGGGAAGCTGGGTAAAGTGGTTTAATAGATGAATAATGAGAGTATCCTGGACAGATAAAAAGCGTAATGAAGACGTCTGGAAAAAACTGACTCACGAAGAGAACTGATTGTCAACATCAGAAAGAGACAATCTACATTCTTTGGTAGTGTGATGAGAAGAACAAATTGGAGCACATCGTGACAGTAGGAAATCTGGTGGAGAGGAGAGGCAGATAGAGATCCAGAGTCATATGCCCAATACACCTGAAGGGTGACAACAAGTCTTGTTACTTTATCTATAAGATTATCATCACGGCACTCTATAGACGTTCAGATTTCAACCTTTCCTCCTCAGATACGGCAGCTTCTAACTGCTAATAGTGCCAGTCATGTGCATGTACTGCACTCAGTATACCCTCCAGTCGTTTTTTCTCTCTCTCTCTCTCTCTCTCTCTCTCTCTCTCTCTCTCTCTCTCTCTCTCTCTCTTCTTTCTCTCTTTCTCTCTCTCTCTGTACAATAATAGTGCTGTCACGAACCATAAGCCGGCTTTCATCATCTAGAGCCAAACCATGTATTAGCATCCAATACATTTGTGTTTTAGGATAAAATCTCCATCAAACAAAAATGTAATTAGCTAATTGTTTACCTAATAATGCCAGCCTTCATTGTTTTTGGCTTCTTTCTTATATGTTGTATATCTTATTACCTGTTTTGCGGTTTCTAATTATGAACCTTCTCTAACCACATCATTTATTTTTCGTGTACCCCTTTGATTTCATTACATTTGAACATGTTTTACTTTGAATAATAAGTACATGAGATGCAGATTTCTTTTTCTACAAATTTTTAATACAGAGACTGCAATTTACAACACAATAAGGCATACATATTTAAAGTTACAATTAACTGATAGAAAGAGGCTAAACATTTTTACTTTTGGGGGCAAAAAGACTCAAAAATAAAATACTCAGCCAATAAGACCTAAAGATAAATATAGCAGGGTCAAAGAAGATAAAAAAAAAATAACAGCTAAAAAGACGTAAAGTTGCAATATTTCGGGGCAAAAAGACCAACAATAACATACTCAGCCAATAAGTACTAAAGTTACAATATGTCGGGGCAAAAAGACCAACAATAACATACTCAGCCAATAAGACCTAAAGTTACAATATGTCGGGGCAAAAAGACCAACAATAACATACTCAGCCAATAAGACCTAAAGTTACAATATGTCGGCGCAAAAAGACCAACAATAACATACTCAGCCAATAAGACCTAAAGTTACAATATGTCGGGGCAAAAAGACCAACAATAACATACTCAGCCAATAAGACCTAAAGTTACAATATGTCGGCGCAAAAAGGCTCGCATTTACAACTCGTTGACATGAAAGGACAAATTTGCATCATTTTTTTTTTAAAAATAATGGACCTCAAAGTTATAGGTAATTAAGAAGGCATAAACGTATCACCTATTGCTAAAAAATTACTTTAGTTTTATAACCTGAATTTACAACTTATTAGGGCTTAAAGTTGCAATAATAGAAAGAGATTTAAAGTTACAACATTGTGATGCAATAAGACTTAAAACAATATAATTTGACAGTGGACAAAATGGCTTCATTTACAACTCGTACACAGAGATGTGTCGTCTCTGTGGCTAAGTCGATGCGAACGCTTCGTAATGCCGGGGTACCGGGTTCGATCCTAGCTGCGGGCCATACGCCTTGCGTTGGTTTTGACAGTGGTATCAGAGAGCCGACCGTCCAGTGGCAATGGCAAACTACTGGACGTAATTCGCCTAGTGAAACCACACACCAGTCAGGGGCTGATGGGGTTAGTTCTGCAAAGTGCTGTAAAGGATACGCAACTAACCTAACACAGAGAGATATATAGAGGCTATAGCTACTACTTTATGGAACAAGAAAACTCGAATTCAAAGATCGTTATAAAAAAGCTGAAAGTTAAAATTTTCAAAGTAAGTTAAAGTTACACATTTCTGTTGTAGTCAGACATAATGTTGATACTTATTTGTTAAAATCAGATCTAAATTTAGAACTTATTTAAGACAACAACAAAAATCTTAACAATACAACCGTTTTAGGCACAGCAACTCAAATAACACATAACTTGTGATAATACAGTAACATTTTCTTGGGGCCATACCTTAAATCCTGCCTATTATAAGAATGCAAAAGTATTGCGCGCCGCCACGAAAAAAACAAGGGGTGGGGGGCGAGGAGGATGGAAAGGGGGCGGGCGGGTTGCTCAGCTGCGCTCTCTCCCATCCAGCAACTTTTCTGGGCATTTAGGCACAGCGAAAAAGTGGGAGGGAGGCCCTTCTGAGCTCCTCCTTGGACCTGAGCTCCTAAGTCCCGGCGACTATGCCAGAAGTCACACAAGTTTGAACAATATATGTTTTAATCTGAAGTTGATAACTGAGTTTGACATAATTTCTATGTTTCGCTAGATTGTGTGAGTGTGTGTGTGTGTGTGTTGTGTGTGTGTGTGTGGATGGGTGATGTGTGTGCGGTTGGTGGGTGGGTGTTTGTTTGGGTGAGTGTGAATACTTATAAATTAATAACTTTTATGTTTGAATAACACTTAAAAATACTAGCAATTCATTATTGGGTGTTTGTTTGTGTGTGAGTGTGAATACTTATAAATTAATAACTTTTATGTTTGAATAACACTTAAAAATACTAGCAATTCATTATTGGGTGTTTGTTTGTGTGTGAGTGTGAATACTTATGAATTATTAACTGTTATGTTTGAATAACACTTAAAAATACTAGCAATTCATTATTGGGTGTTTGTTTGTGTGTGAGTGTGAATACTTATGAATTATTAACTGTTATGTTTGAATAACACTTAAAAATACTAGCAATTCATTATTGGGTGTTTGTTTGTGTGTGAGTGTGAATACTTATGAATTATTAACTGTTAGATTTGAATTCATTATTGCTTGGTAAACCACCATTATATTTTAATTAGTAATTTATTTTGTAAATGCATGCCTTGCATGCAAGAATTATGGGCTGCGCTTCAAATTATGTTGTGCTGCTACTGTTTTGTTTTTCTAATTTGCAAATGTAATTTTCCTTGAAGCGTTTGGTATCAGTTTTATATTATTGTATTTTTAATTGTCAGTGTCTTAGGAAAAACAAAAGCAGTGATGCCTTGGATGATCTGCCTTTCTTATAAAAAGCTGAAAGGAATACTATACAATTCTTCTTCTTCTTCTATTCCACCTTGTTCCTCATCGAAGTGTCGGGAGGAGATGTAATGTTCGTTGATGAGCTCTGTCAAGAGCACTATTAAGACTGATGTTCATTTCTGTAAGTTGTTGTTTATGCCATCACTCCATATTTTCCGAGGTCTTCCACTCGCTCTATACCCGTTGTAACGTTTTAGTGTGGCTCGTTATGGCAGATAGTACCAGGGAATTCTTGTTAGGTGTCCAAACCACTTCATTTGTTGTACTTTGATGACTGTAAGACTGGCTTTATTCCTAGCATTCGTCTGATCTTAAGATTTCGTATTCTGTCCTTCCTAGAAACTCCTGCAGCTCTTCTAAGGCATTTCATCTCTGTTGTCACAATTTTACGTTCATTGGAGGATGTAAGTGTACACGTTTGGCATTGATAGCATAGTGTTGGCCTAAAAATACTATACAATTAACGGTGGTAAAGATGTGGAAATTGCAGAAAAAAAAACGGAAAACATCATTTTGACAGAAGCATAATTATGAGAATTAAAGCGTTGCGAAAAAAAGCCGCCTTAAGCAGAGCATGATCACAACTCTAAGGTGCCAGAATATAAAAGTATTATAAATGTCATCGTTGACCGAAACACGCTATGAAGCATAGTAATGAAGTATGAGCAGTAAAACAATACAGAAGTCACTCAGTGTATATGATGGTAACAACGGTCCTGAAATCCCATGCTCTAATTGTGAAGGACCTTTCTTAGCGCAGGCGCATCTTAATTGCCACACTATGTGTCCCATGCCTTTTCATAGCAACTCCTTTATCTGTAAAGACGGAAAGGCACTATAGTTTGTGATCAAATAATGCGTAGCACACATGCCAAGTCTCCAGGGGTTTTCGTTTATAAATATCAGACCTCTACATCTACACACAGGGTTTTGTCGGCTGACGAACCATGGCCGCCAACTCTTATTCGCACGACACATACTGTTAGGACTACTACTGGAGTAAAGGGATGCCAACCTAAATAAGGAGCACCGCAATAACGCAGACATACATAACATTGCAACAACCACAATATATCAGGCCCATGTTACATGTTCTATCGAAACCACTAACAGTGTCTACGAATACTGTAATATTTACGCCACACCAACTATGAGCTTATAGTTCGATCAGTCCCTTTATTATAGACGAAAACATAGCGACGAAGATAAACTTTTGATCAATACGTCACTGTCTACCACCTGCTAAATTCACTTACATCGACAGTCTCTCCCGACATGGAGAAAACACCCTAGTAAACTGTGTACATATGCTGCTACGACCAGATGGCTCCAATACACTTGCGCGATGTGCAGAGACAGTCCTCTGGTGGTGCTCCCTCTAAGAAATTCCGCCACCTGAAGACCCAAGGTAGATTAACCACTTGGCGGAAAGAATTCAGAACACCCGTCTGTTACCTTGTCCCGTAATGAAGTATAAGCGATCAATATCCAGTTGGTCAACCTCCGATACCTCCCCATCACAACCTTGCCTTGGTCTACATACACACATTTTCCCAGCCCCTTATGTGCAATTAAGGACATCCCGTCAACCAGCGTGTCACATAGCCGCAACTCTGCCAACCTCACATACATGGCCGACATAAATCCATTAAAGAACTTATGAAGTACAACGGATGTTCCAAAGTCATCCGGACAGTTCACAGGATATCCATAGATTAAAACATGTTAAAACTGTCACACCACAATTCGCCCACACGTTCACACACTTAGACCGACCGAAAGCGGACTGACTCAAATACACCTGCCAGTAACACGTAGATCTCACATTTCCTAAAAATCTCGGGATGTTTTCAATCACCCGTGACCACCAAACAACCTCTGTTTACAACGTTAAGTAGCTCAGATGTTACACGGACTTCCCTTCAACGCGAATGAAATCTCGTGTATAATCATGCTTCTCAAAGCACTGGTTCCTTATCTCTGTATACCTCACAGTGACTTTCACACACAACAGGTATCAACATAAATGGTGTTGGCTGCCTTCAGAGTACACGAGGTATATAATGAAGAATGGATCCAAGCGTTATGGATTGAATGGTTCCCTGTGCAGTAAAGATCGTTTTCTCTCCATCGCCCCGCCATAACTGCCCCGTTACTGTGCCAGTGGGAGTCGCCGTGGCAGAGCGGCTAGACGCGCGCCGCGGATAGGAAGATCGTGGGTTCGCTCCCTGGCGGAGCCGGACTTTTCTTCAAAAAATGACCTTGGCTCCCAGGTCGACCCAGCCTTGAGTGGGTACCGGGTGCAGTCCCGGGAAGTAGAGGCGGCCGGTGTGATACTGACCACATCACCCATCTTGTGTCGTTGGTCTATAAAATATAGGTCTAGCCCTAAATGCCCTATAGCCTAAAGGCGTGGAAAAGGGTCCTTTACGTTTTCACTTACATACAAAATCCGCATCACTGTAATATGTAAAATAATATGTTGGTAAAAAATTAGACACAGTACAGTATAATGCCATGAAGAAACATTTTTTCCGTGTGAATTATCAAATTTGTTTTTTATTTTCAAATGTATTTTGTTATGATACAGTGACATTTATTTCGCTTTGTTTTTAACTTTACTTACATACAGCCTCTGTCGCTCTCGCAATGTTGCTCCTCATTTTGCTGTCTGGTAAGCTTTGTTGATTTGTTTTGTTTACCTGATGTAGCTTTTTGATGTTACGTGTAATGTTAACCATCATGGCGCATAAGCCATATTACAGGAAATCCTTGTTAAAATGAAATCCATGGGACAGAAAATCAAGTTCGGGTTAAAAACATTTGTGTAACTAGTGACTAATAACAATATTACGTGCCTGCAGCGACACTCATTTTGTTAAGATTGGCCAGTTCTTAAGCGAGCTCGTGTTAATGAGGTTTCACTGTTTGATATTAGTTACAGACAGGCAGACAATTTAATAGTTCAGGCTGTTTAACATTTACTAGGCAATTTTACGTTCAGTTTGCCATTGGTTAGCGTCTGTGGCTTAGGCGTTGCGAACGCACTTCGTAATGCCGGGTTGCGCCTTGCGTTAGTTTTGACGGTGGTATCAAGCAGCCGACCCTCCAGAAAGCAATGGCAAACTACTGGAACGCAAATTTGCCTAGAAAAACCAACAACAGCCAAGAAATAAATGCTGGGGTTGGTTCTGCAACGTCCTGTAAAGGATGCGCAACTAACTAACTAGCTTGCCATTGTGTCTGGGCCGTCAGCTCTGGATATCCCTGTCGAAATCAACACAATTCTCTTTGCAAACGCTGAACACATCCAACGTCATCGACGTCATCATAATCGTTAGACATAGAGATCGCATTCGATTCCTTCATTTCGCTCTATGGCCTGCAACATTCGATTTCTTACATGGAATTCAGCCCAGTGTTTTTTAGCTTCTCGTAATAACGTTCTTCTTAGTGTTTCCCTTGGATGTCCTATTTATCTCAGACCTTGTTTTCCCATTGCAGTGCTTGTTTTGTAATTCTTTGCTTATTTCGTCTCAGAATGTGCCCGGTATATCTTCATTTTCCTTAAATTATTGCAGTGAATAAAGGTATTTGTCCAGACATTACTGTGATCTCCTCACTGTTTCTTTAAATTCATCCCATTTTATGTTTATGATTTTTCTCAGACATGCATTTTCAAATGCATCTAACTTTCGTACCATGTCATGGATACTACTATCTTCCCGTCCTTTTTAGGACGACATTTTTCGTTATTTGAAGCCCTACCCTGGCTCTTGCCAGGGGCCGCAATGCAATATAGCCTGGCCATAAATATGTTGGTTAACAAGACTTTGTGTGTGTCCGGTGTGCTTCACATGCTTGGCTGTGCCGATCTTTACTCCCAATTCTCGTATTCTTTTGCTTTGGACGGATTCTCAGAATAACGTGAGTTAAAAAAAATAATAACACTGACACCCCGAAAGATCTTAACGCCAAGGAAATCAGTTTTTAAACAGAATATACTCTTGGAAACTAAAACACTTTGGCCACATCAGAACAGAAAAGAACAGGAGTGGAGGGCATAGAACTGGGTAAAAGAGACAGGCGCCGACCAGCACACAAAACAAGCACAGGCCGTAAGAGCTCTTTGAGCAAGAGAGTGTATGAGGCAGGAGACTAGTACAGATAACGAATATCTTTCATGCGGTCTGTGATGAGAGCCATGTTCGGTCAAGAATCTGCTACATAAGGATGATGAAGAGAGGCTATTGAGCTATCCTCCGAATAACGGTCCCAAATTATCGAGGCCGAAAATATACCCTAACAGGGCCTCGGTCAAATGGAAATTGCGGACCTCTTTCCGGAGACTATACAGCATACCAAGGAGAAGCTTTCGCCGAGTTAAAGTCACCGTAGAGGGCAGCTACCGCATCTCCTGTAGCTTCCTTTGTTTTATTTGCTCGTGACTCCCAGCCATTTAGTTAAGCCCCGCTCCGCGCGGCGCAGGCGGTGGCGGTATTATATTATACTCTAGGCGGTGGCGGTATCGTCGCCGGAAAGGTCCGCAATTTACATGTGACCGAACGAACGAACGAACGAACTTTATTTTCAAAGGGTCACAAATTGGGCATGCAGGCGGCCCGTCTTACATTTGGCCCTTCCAGTCAACCATCTTTCGCACAGCAGTTGTATTTTACTAATAAAGCATGTTATGATCATATGATGTTATGCATATTATAAATATTATAAAAGAACACAAAAGCATGAGTTGTAAAGTGCATGCAAAAACCCGCGCGTGCATACATACACCCGCATACACACGCTCACCCACTCACTTACACACACAAACATGCATGCATACATTACACTTACATATAAACACACACAGGGAAACACACAGCACACATATTTACATTCGTGCTCACACACTGACACACACACCACACATACGCAGACAAACATGCAGACACATACATACAGCCACATAGACACACACGCAGTCAAACACACACACACACAAATACAGACAAACAGGCAGACAAACACATACTGACACCCACAGAGACACACACGCAGAAATGCATATACATACAAACACATAGAAATACACACGCAGACACATATATTCAGCACGCACAGACATATACTCTGACATGCAGACACATACAGACAACAAAGGGGCACACACAACACACACAGAGAAACACACATAGACATGCACAGACAGACAGACACATGCTGACACAGACAGTCACGCAGACAGACATACAGACACCCACACACAGAGATACATACATACAGCCTCATAGACACACCCGCAGACAAAACACATAAACATACACAGGCAAACATGAAGACAAACACATACGGGGACACACACAGACACAAACGAAGATATACACACAGTCACATCAAATATGCAGAAAAAGAAACCAGTTCCCACTGAAACATACACGTGGACATACGCGCGAACACACACACATTCGCACATACACAAGGACACAGACGCATACATCCGCAGACACACACGCAGATACACAAGCAGACAAACAACATACTCAGAGTCATATGTATACAAACACGCCTGTTAGGGTATATATTCGGCCTCGATAATTTGGGACCGTTATTCGGAGGATAGCCGGCTATATATATATAGATAATAAACAGACAATGTATTGATTGGTACTCATAGAAAGAATAAGAAAGATAGAAGAACACACTAGACAACATACAAATCTAAAGCCACATTTACCGTGCCTGGAATCGAACCTGTCACCTCCAAATTGCGCTATGGCTATGGAAACAAGTGTACTAAGAACATGATGAGTTATATTGTCTCTTTATTTATTATATATACAACTCACAGAGAAAGTTGGAGACAGGCATGATCCGCGCAGAAAGGCAAGCATAACTTCAGAGGTCCCGGGTAGTTAGCATCCTTTGAATATTTTCTCCAGGTGATGTCGGTGTGTTTGGAAATGAGCAGACCGATAGACTGACTGGCTCTACACCACTGCTCGGAACTGGAACTCTTCGTTTGCAGCTGAAGATGGGGATGTAGCACTCATGGGAGTGTTCCGAGTGCTGTGATGTCAATTCTTTATTCAACATTCAATATTCATTCGTTTGTTTACAGTATAGATATGCCCTATAAGTTTCTAAATTCTGTTGCTTCCACAAATCTCTAGGCTAATCGGAACACAAATGCATTAGACAATGAACCGACGCCAACTGGTGCGCCTCACATGGGCAAGAACAGCAACTTTCATTCGAATGTGAAATCAAAAACTGCAAAGGATATGACAATGTATCAGGTATTTATCACCACCGTCGTCATCACAAAATCATCATCATCGTTATCATCATCATCGTCGTCATCATTATCATCATCATCATCATCAAGTGCCTTGTCGACTGGTGCGGGACGATCATATCTCTTCATAGCACGTGATCGCGAACAGCATTCATCAGCCTATGTGCTGACACCTTTCCATGAAACGATACAAGACTGTCAAGAATCTGTTGTCTTCTTCTTCAATTTTAGTTAGTTATTTGGTTGGCTGGTTAATTAGTTTGTTCATAAGTTAGTTATTTAGTTAGTTAGCTAGTTTGTTTATTAGTTAAGTAGATAGTTGGTTGGTTGCTTAGTTAGTTATTTGGTTGGTTAATTAGTTATTTAGTTATTTAGTTAGTTAGCTAGTTAGTTAGTTAGTTAGTTGCTTAGTTAGTTAGTTGATTAATTAGTTAGCTAGTTAGTTAGTTAGTTAGTTAGGTGATCAATTCGTTAGCTAGTTAGTTAGTTAGATGATCAATTAGTTAGCTAGCTAGTTAGTTAGTTATTTAGTTGCTTAGTTAGTTAGTTAGTTAGTTAATCACTCAATTAGTTAGTTAGTTAGTTAGTTAGTTAGTTAGTTAGTTAGTTAGTTAGTTAGTTAGTTAGTTAGTTAGTTGCTTATTTAGTTGGTTAGTTGATCAATTAGTCAGTTATTTAGTTAGTTACTACCTATTTTAAACTGGGATTACAAAAGAGCAAGTATTAATTATTAAAATAACATTGACTACAATTTTTATTCCGACCTATCAAAACAGACAATTCCCTCTCTGTATTCCGGGGCTCCAATGCCGGGAAGGGTAGGGGTAGGGGGTAGGGGGGATGAGAAAAACAAAAATGTACGTCCTGCTTTCTCAACAAGCATGTCGTATGGGTGAAGGGACACAAGAATATACCTACTGCTTCAACACAAATGTCGTAGAAGTCGACTATTTGGGGACATGCATCAAAGTCGCAATACATCTTCTGACGGTGTAGCAAGGAACCAAGAGTTTGTGCATACAAATAAGCCAGATCTGTGAAACGGATGTGCACGCAAAACTGAGGTTCTGGAACAAGACTAATGTCTGGACGTGGACGATCAAACAGAACTCTACGCTGAAATTACAGCCGATAACAAAGAAAAAAAGAGAAAAAAGAAGAAGAAGAAGAAGAAGAAGAAGAAAAAAGAAGAAGAAGAAGAAGAAAGAAGAAGAAGAAGAAGAAGAAGAAGAAGAAGAAGAAGAAGAAGAAGAAGAAGAAGAAGAAGAAGAAGAAGAAGAAGAAGAAGAAGAAGAAGAAGAAGAAGAAGAAGAAGAAGAAGAAGAAGAAGAAAAAGAAGAAGAAGAAGAAGAAGAAGAAGAAGAAGAAGAAGAAGAAGAAGAAGAAGAAGAAGAAGAAGAAGAAGAAGAAGAAGAAGAAGAAGAAGAAGAGAGTGTTCATTGTGACGCTATACCATGCACAGCGTGCATGAAAAGAGGAGAAGGACGTAGAGCACAGGGTAGACCTTGAATAATATGGAAAGATAACATTAGAGAAACTAAACAATATCAGGACATGACTATTTTCGAGGCTGCCAGAAGAACAAGAAGCAGAACCCTCTACACCCGAAGCGGTAAAAGTCGAACATAAGAACAAGAAAAATATCTATGTCTGTAATTGTCCTAAATATAAGAATAGAATAAGGGTTCTAAGTGTTTAGTGGATATAGGGAAGTCCACAGGCTGCAAAACAGAGGCTAGAGTGGGAAAGGAAGAACACGAGATTTAGTGAGTTTGATTTGGCAACACGAGGCAACGGGAAACTGGATCCAGAGTGATAAGTATGAACGTGGATCTGGATGGAACCTGAATGAACGTTAGTCCTGAACGGCAAGAAGTGAAGCTGTGTTGAATTACAGTAGAGGACAACAGTTGTGTTCTATGGCCCGTTGGTTGTGCCAGTCATGTACATGCCAGTGTCCATCGTTTGAAGAGTGTGGACGAAGAGTTTGAGCAAGAGGACCTTGCCCGAATGGCTAAAGTATTGGGCTTTAATGTTGATTCTTGTCGCTCATTTTGTATTGATGATAAATCCGTGAACTGCTGTTAATCTTGGTCGACTGTCATTTGGAGACGTGCGATAGTTGATCGGAAGGAAAGTTTTGACTCGTCTGTACTGTGATCCTGACCACAAAGCCAATGTCGAATCTGTATGAGGCAGACTGAGTACGGAGGAGATACAGTACATAGGAGTATACTGGAGTATATTCACACTTTCTCATTTACGTCACCATAAATTAAAATAATGTTTGGATGGTAATAATCTTTGTGAATCATACTTCAAACAGGAGATCATTCAATGTATCGTTCAGAGATTCATCTACGACATGCAGCGAGAGAGTGAAATCAGTGGCGGTGAGTAAATGCAGCGTGAAAAAGGAGCATCGGTCATTTATTATTCGTTCAGTATTTGTGTGTCCGGTTCTGTCATTATCCATATTTATCAGTTATCACGCATCTCTGTGGTCAATGCACTTTGGTAACAAGCAACGGAATCAGTAGAGAAACAAGATCATGGCCTGAAGAGAATGAGGCACCTGGGTGTAACCAGAGGATCTGGCTGGCTCACTACACTTGGAGAAATGGCAAAACGGACATTCAACCAGATTGTGACTGGTACCTTCAGTATTGGACTTCGGCGCTGGCTGCTGAAGATCAGGACGGAGCACGCATAGTAATGCCCCGAGTGATGTGATGTCAATTCCTGACTCAACTCAACTTACCGTATCTATGCACACTGTACTGATTATAAGAGACGATCAGTTGTCACATTTCAAGTCACTTCGTACTCACTATCCAAATCAATCAGTTATCGAGCACTTAATGTAACTTTACGCATTAACCAGACTGGACAGTTATCATGTACCTCATACTTATTATCCAGGTCGATAAAGGCATACTTAGTACCCCCCACTGATTGTCTCTAGTGACTAGTTATTAAGTAATTAATTATCTTTCATTTATTGTTAAAGTACTGATACTTTTAACACGTCTAAGCTTCGTTGACAACTGAAGAAAGAGGGGTGGGGTGAGGCTGTGTAGATGGTATCATTTCGGAAGCGGGTTAGGTGAAGATTCTACATCAGCGGTTCTCGGCCTGTGGGTCGCGACACTGTCACATAAATCGCCTAAGACCATCGTAGCAACGAAAATAATTTTATTGTTGGGGGTCGACACAACATAAGAAGCTGTATTGTAGGGTCGCCGCCTTAAGGACTTTGAGCAACTGCTCTGCATGAACACTCCAATGGATGGAAGTTCTTTCATGGCTCTGGGGACCGGTACAACAATACATCGGATTTCAACAGGTGTGGGGATGTCTCAAGTGCAGTGATGTCAATTCTTAATTCATTTATTCATTGTTAAGATCAGTTTGTTTATAAGTACACTTGTACTCTTGTACACTCCCTCTTCTTCTTCGCATTCACCGGCTGTAAACCCTACACCAGCCACCTCGATGAAACTCCTATTTTTTAAAGACCAGTCGACACTCGAGAGGCTAATATTTAGCAGATCTATTAGAAAAAAAACACATGTCTAGCATCACACGCCCAATACGCCACTAGTATAGAAAAAGATTACTTACTTCATCATCAGCATCATCATCACTCTGTGGGGATTGTGGTCAACATCAGGTCAAGTTCACGCCAGCCACTCTTACTTCCTATGACCTCACCTGGTACCCACATTTAAGGCTAGCTGGATCTGAAAGACCACCCATGACCTTCCGATCCGCAGACGAGCGTGTAAACGATACCCGCAGCGATTCCCTTCTTACTTAAACACTTTTTAAAGAAAATATAATGATTTACTTCCAGGCACAACTGACGATATCAAACATCATTTCGAGCGCATGCGCTACGAGGTGATGACCCACTACAAAGCTAAAGATGAGAGCATGATCATGGCAGTAGACGCAGTTCGTGAGATCGCCAAGCAGGTGAAATCCTTGTCTGTAGACGGCGTCCTACAGCCCGTGGAGTGGAACCCTCTATCCCCAGCAGAAAGTCGACATTCCCAGCTACACTCCGCGGGCACAAGATCAGATATTTCATTGAATGATTTCTCTGAACAGTACACGGACATTCAATGTGATATACACGAAGAGCCGGAGGAGGATTTTGAAGATGAGGATTCGGACAGAGAGGAGAGGTTATCAGACTACTCCTCGTATTCGACGGTGGTCAAGCAGACAGAGCTGTATGTGATCCAGGTCGGTGATATTGTGCAGGGAGATGAGCAGCCGATACTGGCTGGAGAAGTTGTGTACGAGGAGAAGAGCATAGACCACTTTTTAAGTGTTAATAATAATAATAATGTTAGTAAGTAGATGGTCATTGGTTTACTAACACAAACTCACGCTTCATGCACGCACACTCACACACATGACATTCAAACACATGCACCTGCATACACACAACATAAACACCACACACACACATAAAGTCGCATGCATACACAAACCACACACATAAATACCACACACACACATACACAAAAACACACACAACACACATACACACAAACACACTTACACCACACACACACACCCCACACGCACACAAACATACATATACACACACATACACACCATATACTCACCACACACACACACACACACACACATACACACCACAAACATATACACTACACACACACACATAAACACGCGTGCACACACAAACACATACACCAGACACACAACAAACACACACACATCACACACACACACACACACCCCACGCATACACACACAGTAAGCAGGAACATTTCTGACTTTTCTGCCGACGGAAAGTAAAGTGTTCCGTCGCATACGGGCCTGAAGGTTAGAGCCTAATGACAAAATGTCCAGGCCCTTGTTTCAGGCCTAGCATCAAAGGCTTCTTTTGCAGCCTGTGGTCTGTGCGCCACTTGCATCCACTGCCCTCGTTTAATCCCCTGAGTTCCAGAGAGCTATATACTTTAACTCCTTCTGTCTGAAGGATCTGTTGCCTAAATTCATTCATTGTTGCATCGACAGCAATTTAAAAAAAAATAATTGTATGGAATTGAAAGAGTTAAAGGTAGGATACAGATGAAAGGGCTGAGGTAAAAAGTGAATGAGGCACTAAAGAAAGGCACAACATGTAAAGAGCTCCCAAAGGACGCCTAGTGCCAAATGATTTAAGGCGTCACTATATTACAAATAGTTATTTAAGAATCGACATTATAGCATACCGGACATACGCATAGAGGCTCCGTCTCCCGCAGCGAATGTGTAGATGCTAACGGTTCTCGTAGCATACTGATTATACACATGTGGTTCTCCTCCTCTCATACGTCACTCCTTGCCGGATCCACTGATAATTCTTCGTTCACATGTTCTTGCCCATATTATTTCACCTAAGATCGTGTCTTCTGTCAACAGTCGTTCATATATGGTCCTCAGATTATCTCCCTTGTCCAATGTTCCCGTAGCTATTGCTTTTGTAGCCAGAAAAGCCGCTCTTTCATTCCCTCACTCTATATGAATGCAAACGCTTGTAACTTAATGCTTACATATTTAGAGTCGAAAATATCGACTTTATTGCCCTGCGTTTTAAATGGCTAGGTCTGTCTCTGCAAAACGACGGCAAGCTACCTGCTGGGAGTGTCACACAAGCCAGGAACTTGATAGCTCTATGGGATGATCCCAGGGTTTTCCGAAACAATTGTCCCTGTAAACCAAAGTAAGAAGTCCGTGAAACGAACCTACATACGCAAGGCAAATGGCGAGGTACCAACTCCCACTTTCCCCTGCACTTACCAATTTTTCTTTTGTCCCTACACAACAGTATTGGTTTGGCATTAAAGCCATATATATATATATAGGTGGTGAGATGCCCTATTGTAGTTTGGACGCATTTCTGAACCATCTGACCTGCTGTCTCTTGATGCAACTTAGCACTGGTTCAGTCCCCAACTGTTTCCGGGTATTTTTTTTTTTTTTTGGTCCTGTCTTTTCTTGAATCTTTCAGAATTCGTAATAGACATCTCATTTATGGTGTCTAGATTTGTTTTCTTCTTTTCTTTTGGTTGTTAGTGTCGACGTTAGTGCAATACTACCTTGGTGTCAACTAATACGTGTCATTTTAAGTATGTTGATTGATGTTAATTCATATCCCCACTCCGGTACCTTGAGATGGCTGTTGCATAGGAGGACTGAGCACGCATGGGAATAAATGCCCAAAGTTCAGTTGTGGAATGCAATGACCTGGCACAATTGCGCATCCCCATGCTCAGTCCTCTGATGCAGCAGCCACTCCATGGAATCCTCTACTGGTTGTTCCTATAAGGAGTCGGTTACAGCATCTCCTGACTTTACCTCGAAGATAGCAAAGCCGTGCTTCACCAAGCTTGACTCCTTGGTCACGTAGGTGTGTCAGCATCATAGATTCGCCAATATCCCCTAACCTAGTCCCTACAGCATTGATGATATCAGCTTTGTCCATGCTTCTTCCCGTTTGCATTGGTGCATTACTCACTGACGCCGAGTCTGATAACGTAACATTTAATCTTCATCTTTTTGGTCTTTTCACTATTATTATTGTTTTTTACAGGGCGCAAACGTGTATGTGTGTAATTATTTTTTTCTACTTTGAGGTTGCAACCTGAAACACTGAAAAGCAGTGACTCAAACAGCCATTATCCGGATAAAGTAAAGTAAAGGACCCTTTTCCACACTTTTAGGCGAATTGGGCACGTAATTCTACACCCATATTTTAGTCGAAGCTCGGCGGGGGTGTCGTCAAAATCACTATTTTACCTCGTAACCATTTGGAATTTAACCTGTTAATTTACATCTGGGCGAGGGTTGTCGAGATTTTTTGGGGAGTGAAACCAAATGTTTTTTTAAATGCATTATAAAACACGCCTAAAGGTACCAAGTTGTAAATTTTTTAATTCAAAGCAAAAAATCGTTAAAACATCTTTACAAAACCACGCGTACATATTAATATATATATATATTTAACGGCTTACGTTTTATCTCATAAGAACTGACATTATTTGTCCATTCACTGACCACAAACCTTGGGGACTATTTTTTTTATCTGAGCAATTTTGATGGTCCTTTTAAAAAAAAATCCTTAGCAGCTGCAAACATTTAGCTTTGAACTTCTTCGAAGTATTATCTTAGTTATCATCACTATCTGAGCTAACATTTATATCGTTATGCTCGCTCAAATTAAAAACTTGAACTCAAAAAAATTTGATTAAAACGAGAAAAAAAAGGCATAATATTACAAAATACTATGAAATAAAACTGAATCAGAAATGCATCAGGCAGGAAGATTAAACATTCGTCTGGACTGACATTGCTAAACTGGTCTTTAAGAAGTGAACCAAACAGCACTTGACAAATCACATCAAATGGAGCATTTCTGTTACGTCTATTTTCAGTATACTCCTAATTATTTAAAAAAAAAGTGCAATACTACCTTGGTGTCAACTGATACGTGTCATTTTAAGTATGTTGATTGATGTTAATTCATATCCCCACTCCGGTACCTTGAGATGGCTGTTGCATAGGAGGACTGAGCACGCATGGGAATAAATGCCCAAAGTTCAGTTGTGGAATGCAATGACCTGGCACAATTGCGCATCCCCATGCTCAGTCCTCTGATGCAGCAGCCACTCCATGGAATCCTCTACTGGTTGTTCCTACAAGGAGTCGGTTACAGCATCTCCTGACTTAACCTCGAAGATAGCATAGACGTGCTTCACCAAGCTTGACTCCTTGGTCATGTAGGTGTGTTAGAATCCTAGATTCGCCAATACCCCCAACCTAGTCCCTACAGCATTGATGATATCAGCTTTGTTCATGCTTCTTCCCGTTTGCATTGGCGCATTACTCACTGACGCCGAGTCTGATAACGTAACATTTAATCTTCATCTTTTTTGTCTTTTCACTATTATTATTGTTTTTTACAGGGCGCAAACGTGTATGTGTGTAATTATTTTTTTTCTACTTTGAGGTTGCAGCCTGAAACACTGAAAAGCAGTGACTCAAACAGCCATTATCCGGATAAAGTAAAGTATTGGATCCTTTTCCCCATCTTTAGGCGAATTGGGCACGTAATTCTACACCCATATTTTAGTCGAAGCTCGGCGGGGGTGTCGTCAAAATCACTATTTTACCTCGTACCCATTTGTAATTTAACCTGTTAATTTACATCCGGGCGAGAGTTGTCGAGATTTTTTGGGGAGTGAAACCAAATGTTTTTTTATATGCATTATAAAACATGCCTAAAGGTACCAAGTTGTAAATGTTTTAATTCAAAGCAAAAAATCGTTAAAACATATTTACAAAACCACGTGTACATATTATTACACACACATGCATTTATATATATATATATATATATATATATATATATATTATATATATATATATATATATATATATATATATATATATATATATATATATATATATATTTAACGGCTTACGTTTTATCTCAAAAGAACTGACATTATTTGTCCATTCACTGACCACAAACCTTGGGGACTATTTTTTTTAAATCTGAGCAATTTTGATGGTCCTTTTTTTTTTTTAATCCTTAGCAGCTGCAAACTTTTATCTTTGAACTTCTTAGAAGTATTATCTTAGTTATCATAACTATCTGGGCTAACATTTATATTCTCAAATTAAAAACTCGAACTCAAAAAAATTTGATTAAAACGAAAAAAAAAAAAAAAAAAAGACATAATATTACAAAATACTATGAAATAAAACTGAATCAGAAATGCATCAGAATCAAATAAAAAGCGATGTTCGACTGCGACAAAAGGCAGGAAGATGAAACATTCGTCTGGACTGACATTGCAAAACTGGTCTTTAAGAAGTGCACCAAACAGCACTTGACAAATCACGTCAAATGGAGCATTTCTGTTACGTCTATTTTCAGTATACTCCTAATT